CCAAAAATATTTGGTGTGCGAGCCATCATGCCAATGTGGATTGGCGTGCAGGCCTGCACGCCAATCTACACTCTGTAGGTTGGCATGCAGGCCCACACGCCAATCTGTGGCTGGCATGTGGGCCCACACACCAATCTGTGGCTGGCATGTGGGCCCACACACCAATCTGTGGCTGGCATGTGGGCGCGCACACCAAACTGTGGCTGGAGTGCAGTTTGGTGTGCGCAAGGGGGAATGGCTTGCCATTATCATTCCCCAACCAAGAGAAACACTCTCGGTCATTGAAGGTGTACACTCTCATCAGCCAAGGGGTTTTCTCCCAGCCGTGGAGAGTGTACATCCTCAACGGCCGGGAGGGTCTCTCAGCCATCAAGGGTGTGCCATCAGCAGCCAGGAGGATTCCTCCTGGCCGTTGTGGTGGTGAGAGAGCGCCGTGACCAAAGCTTTGGCCAAATTGTTTGGGCTTATGCAGAATGCACGCGGCTGATGCGGAAAGCATGCAGAGCTGATGCTGCACGCGCAGGCTGAGGAAAGCGGCGGTGCACTAGTAGAAAGTCTAGCTTTCCGAGGCGCGGGAAAGAGGGGAAAAGTGTTGTGCCCCAACTAGGTCATGAGTAGTGGGACTCATCTAGACCTATTCATTTCCATCTTTTTATGTATATATATAGTTTTTACTACACATAGACATGAAAAGCATTTCATTCATTCTGCAAACTTTGTCTTGAGTTCTATCAGGTTATGAGCGCCTTATAAAAATTTCTCGCTACCTATCAATTTTTTCTCTCTCTCTTCTCAGAATAAGGAGGTATCCCAGGGTAGGGAGTAATTGGCCTGAACAGTTTTTTTTCCTATCAAATCACTCATCATCAGGAGATATACCCAATAAGTCGATAAAATAAAGTTTTCCATCACTGCTGATTAAGCTGCACAGAGACTAGCTATCCAAGTGTATATCTTGTTATTCCAGGACGCTGGTACAAGGGCCGAACAGGCGTGTGTTCTCTTAGTTTTCTCTATTTTCCTCACTCAAACGTCAAGTCGAAATCTATATCATCAACCTTATCTAGTAATTTTCCTTTTCTCTCTCCATCTTACCCTACATCACTCTATTGATTCTTCTCTCCTCTCTCTCTCTATCTTACTCTACATTACTCCATCGATTTTTCTCTTTCCTCTCTATCTTACCCAAACATCTTCACCACACCCCGCTATTTCTTTCTTTTTTTTCCTTCTGACTATAGACCCAAAAAAAACATTTTTTTTTCCACTCAACCACTCTCGACATATCTCTTAATTCCCAACTATATTTTCTCTTCTTTTTACCCATTTTCCCTACACCTCTTTCCACATCGTTCCCCTAAAAATTTCTCACCAATCTCCCGTCTGTCCTCTTTCCAAAATCTTATCATCTCGTGTTCCGATATGGCCAGCCCTGGAGCCTTGATTCACAACACTTGTGAAAATACCCCGGTAGCCAATAATCAAAACACCAGAGCTCAAGATCAACAACAAGGTCAGAATCAAGGTACCCCGGCTGCCAGTAAAGGCGGAAAACCCGTGTTTTTTTATTAATGCCCTTTTTTTTAATGTTTTTTGAATTAATTTTTACTGGCTTAATTTCAATCATTTTTTTGAATTTTAAATTTATTTCCTACATTTAAAGATGTGTAGAATTGAATGGTGAATTCCAATTTCCATAAAAATACAATCTTCAATTAAAATACGTGAGTGTACCCCGTTTCTTGCATAATTTGTACTGTATACAAATTGTATTTGAATGTAAAATGGATACAGCCATCAATTTTGAAACCTTTCAAAGTGTAGGAAATGAGCTTAAAATTCCAAAAAATAAGGATAATTAAGTGTGTAAGAATTAATTAAAAAAACATGTCAAAGGCATTATTCAAGATACAGTTTTTATTTTGATGCAAATTGAGTAATACCATAATTTTAAACATGTCTGAAAGTGTAGGAAACAAATTTAAAATGTCAAAAAATAATGAAAATTAAACTCTTAAAAATCAATTGAAAAATATGACTAATTATAGTAGGGTCTTAGCTAATCGACTCCCAAAAAGTGGAGGATCAACTCCCAAACCCCAAAACCCCCGGAATTTCCACCAAAATCCCCAAGGAATGGGAGTTGATCCCCCAAACCCGTCAACGGGTTTGGGAGTCAAAAAACCAATAATTTTAATCAAAAAAAGGCCAACCCCCGAAGGAGTTGGGGGTTGATGCCCCAAAACCCACTGGGTTTTGGGTGTCGCTTACCAAAAAGACCCCGCGACAGCCGGGAGTAATCCTCCTGGCCGCTGATGGCACACCCTCAGCGGCTGAGAGAAACACTCTTGGCCGCTGAGAGTGTACACTCTCAT